GAGAGGCAGGATGTCGCAGAGCTGACCTCCTCCAGTCTGCTGCCTGCCACCTGCCCCTGCTCAGGACAGTGACATGGACACAGCAGGCTAGGAGCTGGTGGGGCACGGAGCCGGGACGGGAGCTGAGGGCAGGGGCAGCCAGCAGGCAGAGCCCCACCGCTGCCACCCTCACCCCTGCCCTCGCCAGGATGCCGACACCCCTTCCCACCCGATTTCAGCCCTTGCCTGAAGCTTCACTGTCCTCTTCCCCCTCTCTGGCACATAAGTCTTCTCAGGAATTCCCAGGATTACCTCCCACTTCCAGGTACCCTCCTGGACATGCCACACCTGGGTCCCAAACCCACACTCCTGATCCTGTCCCAGGCCCTGATGCTCCCATGAAGCTCCACCACTCCCACAGCCATGCACCTTCACAGGGTGGGGACAAACACGAGGACACGTGTGTGGAGAGCGGGAGGCCATTAGCAAAACATGGGCAAGGAGGGCAAGGTCGACTGAGTTGACTGGACACCGCAGCGCAGGCCACCGCAGGGTCCCTGTACCCTCTGTTCAGAGGCCCCAGCCCCCTCCTCAGCTGTGCAGGGAACACGGGGCACTTCCCCTCTCCAAGCAGCACACCATCCTGCCTGGGTTTCCATGGCAACCTGCGGCATTGCAGTGTGGTCCCTCTAGACACCCCCTCCACTGGGGATGGCGGTGGCGAGGAAGACGTGGAGGGCTTGCCAGGACTTCCCCTGCTGCAGCTTGGCTGCGGGGGCTCGGACGGGAGGCGGGGGTTGCCAGGAAAGGAACTGGACCAAAGAAGCCTTTGCTGTGACTAGTTAGAGACCCAAGAATTAGGAGCAGATTCTCCCACGGGGATGGCGGGAGGCCAGGGGTGGGCCCAGACCCTGGCAGCAGTGGGGAGAGCGAGCTGGTCACCGCAGAATCCCCTCTCCCTCCCACAGCCAGTGTCGGGCCAGAGAGGGGGAGTTCAAGACCCTCGCCTGGGAAAGGGGGCCCTACCCCTGCTGTGCCCTACTTATCTTCTGGGCTCCTATCACTAGCTCATGGGAGGGCGTGGGTGGGGCTGAGAGCAGGGTGAGGGCGGAGGGAGGAGCGCCTTCTCTGAGATCACGCCAGCTGCTGGGAGGCTGGGATAGCTGGCAGGTCAGGGACGAATAAGGCCGTCGACACGTCTGTCCACTTCACACACAGTCTCACACGCGCAGTCACGCTAAGACGTACATATTTCCTCCACACAGACAGCATTCATGCCGACAGTCTCACGTGTGAACACAGTAATCTCTCATACAAGGTTATGCATGTGCATAAGCAGTCATGCAGCCACACGGTCCTACCATGCCTCAGTCACACATGACATACGCTGTCACGGGCAGTCAGTTCACATACATGTGATCTTCACGCTATAACACTCGAGGCTGAGCCCATCCACTCAGTTGGTACAAACCCACAAATGGCCTGGGACCCATCACACACACAGCAAGCTGGGTGGTAATGGTGGCTGTAGGGGACCCCCCCCGGCCCTGGCCCCTAAGTGCCACATCCTCTCTAACCCAGCTGGAAGACAGATGGATCTATGGGGACTTCAAGCCACCCTCCACCCCCTCCCCCAAAACGTGCCGTGAGTTGAAGCTAGAGCCTGTCCATGGCCTAACCCAGCTCCCCTTCTCGGAGCTCGGGGAGGTGCCCATTTGGGAACAAGTCTACTTCCCTAGTTAAGACCTGCTCAGCCCAGACGAGTCCTTGACTCGGGGAGTCACAGAGTCGTGACATGTTGGACATACTCCAGGTACCCGCCATTTCACAGATGGGGAGTCCCAGGTCCAGGAACCAAAAGAGCTGGGACCAGACCCTAGGCCCACAGACTCTTCTACTGATCTGCTGCCAGTCACCCCTCCCAGTCCCCCTCCATCTGAGATGTGACTCGGCACAGCTTTCGTCCGCCCGCCATGGGCCCTTCAGGGTGAGGGCAGGTCTGCAGTCACAGGAAAGTTCCTCTGCAGCTTCACGCCTGGCCCTCACCCCTGCTGGTTTGGGGATTGACTGTACGCAGCCTCCCTGTCAGAACAGCCAAGCTACTTGCAGTAGTTCTGTGGTCCCCAGAGTCCCTCAGACTCCAGGAATCATTCTGTCAGTCACCTAAGAGGGAGGGCAGCCCCTGCCTACAGGGGTGCTCCCCATGGCATCCCCTCAACCCAGAACCTGGGAAGGGCCACTGTCCCTGGTACTGAAAAGATGAACTATATTTCGGCAGGGGCTGAGACAGCCCAGGGTGGCCCTGTGTAGACAAGCCCTGTGCCAGGCCGGGACCCCACCCTCCTCACTGCTCCCAGAGCTTAGAGGTGTTAGAGCAGGAAGGGAGCTGAGAGGCATCACCGCTGCTCCGGTTTACAGAAGAGGAAGCCGAGTCCCAGTGAGAAAGTACTTCCCCACGGTCCCCTGGGCAACGGCAGAGCCAGAAGCTGGTCCTCTAAAGTATCCGGGCAAGGTTTTGGAAGCTGGCTCCAGGGCGATGTGTGGAACAACCTGCAAGGTGCAGGCAGGGGCGGGGGGACAGGAGAGGAGTGGGCACAGCAGCCCAGGCTGGGTACCAGGCATCTGAACTAGGGCACAGGCTTTGAAATGAAGAGGGACAGCAGGGCTCCAGCATGGGGTACAGATAAACTGGGAGGAGGAAGGGGCTGGGAAGGGCAGACCTGGAGCCCAGGAAACTGGGTCCAGGAAAAGAATTCCTCTCACTTCACACAGCCCAGCCCTGTAGGGAACTGGGCCATTTCCCCTGGGGACAGGAGGGACATCCTTCTAGATTCTCCCAGAACAGACTCTCCCACCTGGAGGGGGCTCCCTGCTGGGACACTGGTATCCTCAAGGCTGGGGAGAGAAAGGCAGGGAGAAGTCATTAGAGATGAGGGACGAGCGTGCTACCAGGAAGGGACTGAGTGTCCGACGTGCCAGGCACGAGGCTGGAGGCCTTTGCATACCCTGCTTCACTCAGCTCCTGGCCAACTCTGCAAGGCACCTGACTGTCCTCGTCCTGTAAATAAGGAAACACACCGGAGGAGCGATCTGCCCGCCCGAGTCGCCCAGCAAGTTAATGGCAGGGTGTGGCTCTGAAGGCCAACCTGAGGTCATTGTCCAGGAATGCACCTTCTCTCCAGGCTCTGGATGCTCCACCAATAACATGAGCACATTGGACCAGCTGACCCCAAGGGGCCCTTCCTGCTCTGACATGCAGCGGTTAGACGATTCACAGAACCCTTCGGTGGAAAGGGCATCCAGGCAACTCCCCCGGGCCATGCACAGACAGGGGAGCCAGAAGCTCCACCGCTGCTCAGCTCCTCTGAAGGTATGAGGTCGTCCTGGTGTCCATGCCAGTCCCTGCCTGCAGGCTAACGTTTCCCACGGACTTCGCTCCGCCTTGGCCTTGACTTCCAGGATGAAGGGCCTTTGGGTCGGAAGCAGAATCAGCTGGACTCCTGGGCTGGGTCTCCCAGGAAAGTCCAACACCTCTACTGCCTCCCAATCTTCACCTCCTCTCCCTAATCCCAGTCCTCCTTGTCCCAGCTCCACTCCTGGGCCTCCAAATCACCATGTCCCTCCTCCAGACCAGGCCACACCCACCCCAGGGCACTGACCCCATGATCCCCTCCAGCCCCTTCCCCATCAGGCTTCCCCTGAGCCAGGGCCACCCTGCAGCCCACGGCCCAATGCTGGAAAAAGACCATCCCCCTGCTCCTGTCGAGGGCTTTGTAAAAACCTATTTTAAGCCTGGAAAAGTCCCCCACTCCCAAGCCCCAACTCGGAGTCTTGACGAGCATTCTCCGGATCCTCTGGTGCCCCCGCCCCCTCACCACCCCCATCCAGATGCCTATTTGAAGGTTTCTTGGGGAAGTTGTTACTCTGAGCAAAATAAGCAGGAAGAGATTTTAAAACAAAACCAGCTGGTGTCTGGGCTGATGCCACCAGGCAAGGAGGTCTTGGTGGAGGGGGTGGGTTCTTCTGCAACGTGGGGGGCTAGTGTGACCGTGTGACAAGGCGGGTCACCCGCTAGCCTGAGCATGGCAGGGTGCACGAGCTCGCCGTCTGAGAAACGGTATTGTCTGGTTGTAGCTGTCAGGGTGCGTGTGAACGCAGCTTAGTGAGGTATGTGCATGCACACGTGTGACGTGCTTCTGTGGCCTGTACTCAGAGGGCTGTGTTTGTGTGATTTGCACGCTTGGTTTTATTTGTTACCACGTGCAGTATAAATGAACCTGTCATGCTTCCCTGGCAATCCAGGGGGCTTCTCTGTGCAACGGACACTATTTATGTGACAGGCCAAGACAGGAAAACGAGCGTGTGTCTCTCCCGTGACTTTGTAATGTGTAAGTGTGGCGATGTAACTGCATCTGTGGGTGCCAGAGGCTATAGGGAAGATGGAGTCCTGGGGATGTGTGGTCTGGACAATGGCACCAGGAACACAAGGCTGTCTAATAAATAGTTACTGCTGAGTGTACCAGTCTGTGTGTGGAGGTTAAGAGCATGAATGAGGGTTTGGATCCGGGCTCTAGCGCCTGCTAGTTGACTTCTCCTCTGCCCCGGAGAGCTCTGAGTCACGAGTCAGGACACTCTGAGCTAGGACAGTGCCTAGTATGTGTGAAGTGCTGTCCGAGTGTCTAGCATGGAAGGCACACCCATCTGGACAGTGCTTGGGCACTCTGTCACCCAAAGCCCTCCTCACCACGGCGGCGCCTGGTGCCCCATGTCCACTCACCTGGCTGGGGGAGCTGCAGTGTGCTCTTGCTCCACTGGGTCAGGCCCACGATGGCCACCATCTTGGCACCCAGGCTGCTGCGTCGCTTCTTGGCGGTGGTGGTCCCGGTCCCGCCTCCGGTTTGCTGGGATCCGCAGATTTCACCACTGATGCTGGAGCTCCGCACCACATTTCGGGAGGCTCCAGCTGAGGCTGGACCCGGCTCCCCGTTAAACATGGTCCCCGGGGCAGCAGGGCCTCAGGTGGCTCTGAAGGTGGGCAGGAGACAAAGGGATCCCACATCAGACCCAGGCAACTCTACCTACCACAGTCCACCACATCTCAACTGGATGACCTCAGGCAAGTAACTTGGCCTCTCTGAGGCTGCAAAGATGAAATAAATAGGGCCAGCAGGTGGTATGGCAGTTAAGGCGCTGGACTCCTACATGGCTGACCAAAGTTCAAGTCCCGGACCTGGCAGCTTGCCTTCTCACTTCTCCTCTCTCACTGTCTCTCTTTGGCAAATGCATGTGCTCTAAAGCAAATTAAAATAATAATAATAGTCCATTAATAATTCCTTAAAAGATTAAATGAATAAATAAATGTCAAAGGTGTACACAAGGTCTCTGGCTATGAAGAACCTGGCAGGTGACCTGATTTGGTGGTGAAGACAGGCTGTGGAATGAGATGGCCTGCACAACCTCATGACCAAACATCTCGGGGTTTCGCTGAGCATCTCAGCAAGACAAGAAATAAAAGCACTTGCCTCATTGGCTTGTTGGGAGGATGATCTGGGCATGTAAAGTGCCTCGAGTGACATCAGACATAGTCAACAAATGTGAGTGATTGTTCTTTTCATAGCAAATCTAAGAACGCCAGCCTGCAGACCATGAAAGGGGTCCTCCTGCTCGAAGGGGGCAGTGTGGACAAAGGAAAGCGAAACCCACCCTTCACTGCATCAGCGACAGGCAGCCGCTGTGATGGCGGGACCCGTCTCCTTCCAGCCTCCTTTCTGTGCGTGTAAAAGATGCTTAATTGACACAATAACTGCATGTATTTATGGATTATAGTGTGATATTTTAATCCATGTACACAATGTGTAATAATCAAATCAGGGTCATCAGCATATCCGTCACCTCAAACGCTGATCATTTCTATGTGTCGGGAACATTGCAAATCCTCTCTTCCAGCTAATCTGAAATATATACTATATTACCGTTAGCTGTAGTCACCCTCCTGTGCCAGGGAACATGAAAACATCATCCATCTCACTGTATTTTGTGTACCTGTTTACTTGCCATTCTTCTCCCACCTGTTCCAGCCTCCGGGGGCTGCTATTCTACTCTCTGCTTCTATGAGCTCAACTTTCTTAGCATCCGCGAATGACAGAATGTACGGTATTTGTCATTCTGTGCCTGGCTTTTTTCATTTAACGTAATGTCCTCCTGGCTCATCCGTGTTGCTGCAAATGACGGAATTTCATTCTTTTTAATGGCTGAGTAGTATTCCACTGTGCATATATACCACATTGTCTTTATCCATTCATCTATCGATGGACATCTAGGTTGATTCCGTATCTGAGTTATTGTGAATAGTGCTACAATCTCATTTTGACATACCGATTTCATTTCCTTTGGATCTATACCCAGTAGTGTAATTGCTGGATCTCCTTTCTATGAATTTTTAAAAATAATTGAACTCATATTGCAAATATAATTTTAAATTCTGGACTTTTTCATTTAGCACTATGCATAAGCATTTCTCAATGTCATTAATACTTTGCATAAATATTTTAATGCCACATCACATCCCACTGTATAGAGGTAGCATAATTGATGTAATATTTCAATACGATTACCTCTTACATCAGGTCCAAGTTCCTATCCTACACCCTTCTGCCTTAAAGAACACTATAATAAACATCTCTTTCCTCTGATTTCATCGGGTTCTTTTCTTTTTTTTCTTTGTTATAGATTTCTGCTGCAGGGTGCATGTGTTCGCCAGAGAGACAGAGACACAGAAAGTAAGAAATGCCCCCACCCAGAGGGCATGGCCATGCCACAATCCCTTCTCCTTCATTCTCCTCTTGGAATTTTGGGCATGCATGCACAGGCATCCGGTGTGAGTTTCAAGGTACCAGGTCCAGGACTCAAACCATAGTCAGCCACATGGGAGTCTAGCACCTTAACCGCCATGCCACCTCCTGGCCCCGCCTACTTTTCTTAGGACTGGTTCTAGAAATGGAATGACACCCATTCCCAGTGCTTCCTGGAGGGTGCTGGTGGTACCCAGGTGCCACACCATTCCTCGTTTTAGAGGTGATCCAGAGGAATGGAAGGCCATCAGTGAATGGCATTCACCTTGGCAACTCTTGCTTGTCCCTGGGTAGGCACATGACCAAGCTGGCCCATCAGTACAGGTGAGGATTTGGATTCCATGCTTATTAGAGAGGTGGGGTTCCCCCTTTCCCTTTCCCAGAGGCCCTGCCCTAGGATGTGGGGCTATGGGGGCAGCACAGCACACAGACAGCACGGACCTCAGGCCACACCTGGACCCTGCCTTTCTCTGTTCTTCCAGTGACAAGAGAATATGTACCTCCCATCGCTTCCGCTAGCTTGAATCAGAGTTCTCGGTTACGTGGAAAAGCATCGTACCTGATACGAAAGACTTGACTTACATAGATACGTTCATTCATTTATTTTTGCCATATGGCACATGCACTCACTGGGGTCAGAGAGGGGAAAGTGAGAAATCACCCCCTGAGGGGTGATGGCCACACCACAATCCCAAGCCCTTCTCCTCTATCTCTTCTTGGGAATTTGGACATGCATGAACACATGCCTCAAGAGTTGTGTTGTTTTTTGAGAGGTGTTTGTTAGAGGATGCATGTGCTCACAAGACAGACAGAGAGAGACAGAGAGACAGAAAGCAAGATATCATCCCCCAGGGGGGATGGTCACACTGCAATCCCTTCTCCTCCATTCTCCTCTCAGGATCTTGGGCACACACGCACACGTGCCTGGCTTGAGTTTAAGCCACAGGGTCTGGGACTAAAACCGTGGTCGACTACATGGGAGTCCAGGGACATAGCCATTACGCTAACTGCTGGTCCCACGCCTGAAGTGTTTTTCAAGCCACCAGGTCCAGGAGTCTAACCATGGAGTGAGCCACACGTGAGAGCTAATATCTTAATGCCACGTCACTTGCCACGTCATCTGCCCTGACAGATTTTTTTTTTTATTCTTGGAATATATTGTCAAATTCCTTTCCAAGGATGACATGTCTATCTTCTCCATCAGCTGCATTCAACAACTATTTAAGCCGCTAAAAGTCTAAGGCCAATGCCAAGTGCCAAATAGACAGGCATGAGCCAGGGCAACCAGGTCCTGCCCTCCCAAAGCCTCCAGTCCTAGAGACAGGCAGACAGTAAATGGCTAAGTATACAGTGGACGTTTTATGGTGGTTACAGTAAGTGCTAGAGAGTAGGGCAGGGGTCTCCGAGAGCCCCTCTTGGGGAGGGCAGTGCGTTGGTGGTGTTTCGTGCAGAGGCGAGATCTCCAGCCATTGGCCTCCATGACCTGGCTGCAAAGTCTGAGGCTGCAGGAGGTCTCTTTGCTCAGGCAAAGTATGGAAATGCCACTCCAGCACGCTCTGCAGCTACTGCCGTCCTGGCTCTGGCCTGGCCACAGAGCCTTTCCCGGGAGACTGCTCATTCCAGGGTTCAGGGCACTCTGCTCGACCCTCTGCCCTCAGGTCTGTCATCCTGAGGGCATCTGGCTTTTCAAAAGAACAGAGAAAGGACAGGGAACATGGAGCTGCAGAGCAGGCACCACTCTGACTGAAGAGGAAGACAGTCCCCAGACAGCTGGGGATGGTCACCTGGCCTCCTGGTCGGCACAGCTCCTGCTGGCCCGGCAAATGAGGGCTGGCAGCAGGGATGAGTCAACGCCTTGCTCTGCCCGCTCCGTGGCTGTCTGGACTGGCCTCACTGTCCCCGTGCCGTGTGCAGCGGCCCGGATTGTATTTCTCCGTCCCCCTACCACCTTGCAGCTAATGGAAAGTCCCCCTGGAATTGGGCCTGCGATGGCCTCTTTTCTCTAGTTTCCAATCCCAGCGCCAGTTTGTGTGAGTGCATGTTTTATGTGTCTGTTTTGGAGGAAGGAGTAGCTGCGTGGTCTCTTGGTGGAAGGTAGGAGAGGGCTTATCTGATATTGCAAACTGGCCCCCGTAATTACACCAGCCGCATTTCCACGAGGCGTGTCGTTCTCTCTGTGTCACAGATGAGAAAACGGAGTCTCGGAGAAGTAAAGGACTGTCCCATCCAGCTTAGACAGAAGAAGTGGGAAGACCTGGACGCAAACCTGAGTCTCCCGTTTCCACACACAGGCAGCCACGCCCAGCAGTTCCTGCCCCTTCAACCCAGAGCTGACTCACAGATGTGCGCCCATCCCTCAAGCTCGGCTTTGCCCTGGTCTCTGGGCTCTTTGAGAAACTGCAAGGAGAAGGCCTATTGTGAGAAACCCCTAGCTGGCCTGAGCATCTAAGGGGCAACAGAAGCCCCGCCCAGGCCACAGCTGCAGAAGCCAGCACTGTCCTACTGCCAGCTCCAGGAACTGGAGAGCACCGCCCCCAGGGGTGAGCAGAGAGGGGATAAGGGACAAAACGCCTGACCCTGCCAACCCAGGGGCTCATGTTTCCTCATGAATAATAGATGAAACTGACAAGCAGTCCTGTTTGACATCCAGGACTCTGCACCATCCAGAGCCACTTTCTCATCTTTACCCACCCAGGGATCCTCTGGGGGGCCTGGAGAACTGCTGGATGCTTGTAGGGTCTGACCTGCAGGTCACTCCCCAAGGGGGCAAGAGGAGCCATAGTCAGCCACGTGGGAGTCTAGTGCCTTAGCCACCATGCCACCTCCTGGCCCCGCCTGCTTTTCTTAGGATTGTTCCTAGAAATGGAATGACACCCATTCCCGGTGCTTCCTGGAGGGTGCTGGTGGTACCCAGGTGTCACACCATCCCTCGTTTTAGAGGCGATCCAGAGGAATGGAAGGCCGTCAGTGAATGGCATTCACCTTGGCAACTCTTGCTTGTCCCTGGGTAGGCACATGACCCTTAGCTCCTGCAGGCCTGGAGAAGGCGGCCAGGGAGGGTTAGGAGGCAGGATGCAGGTTTTGCATGTGAACAGATTTCCTGGGCTTGGCTTCCTTGTGTGTGTAGGCAGCGAAGGAGGAGAGCAGGTGATCTCAAGTCCTTTTGCCAGGCAGAACCAAGTCTCTGTACCCAAACTATAGCTGGGGGCTCAGAACTGGGGTCTAGCACCTTCTCAGGCAGCCAGCTGAGCTCAGGAAGAGCAAGCCAGATGTGCAGACAGAAAAGGCCACCTGACCCCTGTGAGGAGGGATGCCTACTGCAGAGCAACCCCCCAGCCCTCGGGCCACAGGATGGGACAGGGGAGGGGGCCGGATGGGGCAAGTGCTGAGGGGCAGCAGAATACAATGTCTTCCAGGCTGGTGGCTCTAAACGACTCCCAAGTAAGCAAGCGCCTTTCCACGCCTTTCCACCAAGGTCACGTTAACAACGGCCGCCTCTGAGCAGGGCTGTCCCTTTCCAGCCCGATTCATGGAAACCCCCCTACGATCTCACCAGGGCATGGAGGCCGCTCTCAGCTCTTCCTGCTGCCTCCCATCTGCTACCATGGCAGCAGAGAAACTGCGCTCTGCCTTACCCTCCAGGAAGAAGGGCCACTGCCCCATTTTGCCAAAACTTCATGCCAGCAGATACTGCCCAAGTTCCTCAGGAAGAGGCCGAGTGATTTCTTGCCAGGATTCAACATTTGCCTCTATGCGGTGTCCCAGAACCCTGAGGGCTCTCCAAACGCTCTCCTAAATCCTGACAACAGCAGGTCTCTGGCCCTGCTAGGCCACCCTGGACCCTTGGCCCCTCTGACCATGTGTCTAACCATGAGCCTTCTTGGAGTCAGTGCGACCAGTCAAAAGCCTAAGGTGAACCTAGTCACCTTTTCTTCTGATTTTAATCTGCCAGAGAGCATATGTGCTTGCCAAAGAGAGACAGCCAAGGGAGGGAGGGGAGGGAGGAAGCACCCCTCAACAGAGCACGGTCACACCACAATCCCTTCTCTATTTCTCCCCCGTTGAGACTTTGGGCATGCATGCACACGCATCTGGTGTGTTTTTCAAGACACCAGGTCCAGGATTTGAACTGTGCTGTTGGCCATGTGGGATCTGGCTGCTTTAACCACCACACCACAGAGCCAGCCTACTTTTTTCCACAGGAAAGGAGCCCACTGCACGGTGATGTTAGAAGAGATGGCAAATAACTGAGGCTCTTACCACCCTTCTCCATCCGCTATCAAACCTCTGTCCATAGCAGACATTACCAATCCATCTCCCTTTCCCATCGAGGTCAGATTTAACCTCGGAATCCCTCTCAACACAGAGCTCTAGCACCAGCTGACCAACACCAGCTCCAGAGCTAAAGCTGATCTGTAGTCAGAACTTAGAATTCCGGCCCAGCCTACCAGCCCGCGGAGTAGGAGATCCAGGCCCAGAATGGAGAAGAGCCACACCCAGGTCATACGGAAAGTTGATGCAAAACCACAGATTCAGCTGAACCCCCCTAACCACCAGGTCTCACACTACCCATCAGGGGCTCTCTCCCACCCCTCATCCGAAGAAAAACCAGAAAAACAGAACTTACGGAACTGGTGAATCTGAGCGTGGAGTTCGGCATCACAGGGGGCTGTGCCCCTCCCAACAGCACACCCCTAGGGCATTTGCACAGTTAGCTGCCCAGACACCAGCTTTCAAGAAATGATGTGAAGGCAATCAGGGCGGGCTCCCAGGGGAGGTGATGTGATAAAAAGGTCTGGAAGAGAAGAGAGGAAATTAAAGGAAGGACTAGAGTGGTCTGTTCTCAAAGGCTCCCAGTAGCTTCTGGAGTAAAAAGATAGACTTTGGAGATAGCTGTGTGGCTTTGAGCAAATCACTGACACTTTCTGATCCTGTCTCCTCCTCTGTAAAACTGTCTGAATTCCTGGGCCCCTTATCTGCCTTTTGGTGTTTTAAAGTTAATCAGCCAAAGTCCCAAAATTTAAAGTTTTTTTTTTTCCCTGTTCTCTAGCTGTGCTGGATTACTTTTATTTTTTAATTAAAAATTAATCTTTTTTTTTTTTTTGATTGCCAGAGGGGAGGCAATGGGGAAGGAGGGGAGAAGAGAAAGATGAGCACTCCCAATGGGACGAGGTCAGGCCTGAATCCCTCTCCTGCATTTCTCCATGCAGTCAGGATTTGGGGCATGCAGGCAGGCGCATGTACTCAAGGTCTTTTTCAAGCTGCCGGGGCCAAGAGTCAAACCGTGTTCAGTCACGTGGGATCTGGCTTCCTTAACCACTGTGCTGCAGGCTGGCCTGACTTTAAGTTGTTTTTTGAGAGACTTTTGCTATAAGATGCATTCACTCGCCAGATTAAAAATTAATCTGAACCAGAAAACAGAGACAGAAACAGAAAACAGAGAGACAGAAAGCGAGAAGTCGCCCCACCACGGGGAATGGCCACATTCCAATTGCTAAGGAGCTCTAGAACCTTCCTTCCTTCCTCCAGTCTCCCTCTGACTGATGGAGATGGGGTCCCTCCCCAGACACTGTGAAAAGGCCCGCAATTGGGTGTGGGGTACTCCTGACACTCCCCTGAGCCATGTGACCCTGAACGAGCCATTCAGTTTCGTTGAACTTCCATCTCCTCTTCTATAAAATGAACCTCATCACCACCTGGACCCCAACCGACTGCAGCTGCACTGTGGGGGGGGGGTGTCACATGAATTGAATAGACGGGAGGGAGGAAGCAGAGTGAATAAAAACACGGACTTTGGAGGCAGACAGATTTAGTTCAAAACCTAGCTCCGCCACTGGGACCAGCAGGCGGCATGGTGGTTAAGGCGCTGGGCCAACTCCCGGGTTTAAGTCCCAGACCCGGAAACTTGAAAGCCAGCACCAGTACTCCCCAGCACATCACCCGTGCCAGCCTCGGCCCGTGCCACAGTGCCTGCTTCCACAAGGGAAGGGAGCTCCTTGGCCCTGGCCTTTCCTCTCCCGGCTCAGGGAGAGGTGGGTGGCGGCAGGGGTTGGTACGCGGTGGGGGTGGCAGGCTGACCCGACGAAGCACTCCTGGCCAGAGTGAGGACCAGGGAAGGGCCCACTGCCGGCTGT